TTAAACGAGAGCTGTCTACACCAAAATAAGTCTAAAATATTTGTCCGCACATTTATTCTCTCAATTTAACAACTTGTAATTGTGGGAATTAATCAAACGAGAGTTGTCTACACCAAAATAAGTCTAAAATATTTGTCCGCACACTTATTCTCTCAATTTAACAACTTGTAATGGTGTAAAATAATTAAACGAGAGCTGTCCACACCAAAATAAGTCTAAAATATTTGTCCGCACATTTATTCTCTCAATTTAACAACTTGTAATTGTGGGAATTAATTAAACGAGAGTTGTCTACACCAAAATTAATCTCAAATATTTGTCCACACATTTATTCTCTCAATTTAACAACTTGGAATGGTGTAAAATAATTAAACGAGAGCTGTCTACACCAAAATAAGTCTAAAATATTTGTCCGCACATTTATTCTTTCAATTTAACAACTTGTAATTGTGGGAATTAATTAAACGAGAGTTGTCGACACCAAAATTAATCTCAAATATTTGTCCACACATTTATTCTCTCAATTTAACAACTTGTAATTGTGGGAATTAATTAAACGAGAGTTGTCTACACCAAAATTAATCTCAAATATTTGTCCACACATTTATTGTCACAATTTAACCACTTGTTAATAGTGGAAATTACTTAAACGCGACTTGTTTAATCAGTTGACATCAATGCAACTTACCCGCAGACAGTGCACAACAGAGTATCATTATTGAGCAATTATAAACAGGAACGTGTCTTGGCATTAGGGTTAGGGTCAGGTCAGGTATGGGCAACGGAATTATTAACAGGAACGTGTCTTGACATTAGGGTTAGGGTCGGGTCGGGTCAGGTATGGGCAACGCAAATGGCAAACACCCAATTGGCAAGATGTACACTAACGGGTTATGGCATGCATATAGTTTACACAAGTAAAAACACAAAATTGGCAATTTTTTGGACAATTGTAACTCAATAATAGAAATATGTTGTATTTCTATATATATATATACACACTATATAGTCTTATCAAATGCAAACACATCCAGTCAATCAATTGTGGGCTTGTGGTTCAGTTGTCTACACAGTGATCAGGAAGACCCGGGTTCAATTCCCATGTCTGCCCATCTGCCCATATTTTTCTCGCACTATTTGGCAATAAAACTAAATATGACAACAAATTATTCAATTTGCATGACTACCCACATAGCTCAGTTGATTTGTACTATGTGAGCGATCGCTGGTTCGAATCCAGTATGTTTAGTTAGATTTTTGAATGCTAGTGAAAACAGTGCTCCTATGAATAGGACTTAAATCCTATCCCTTGTGTGAAGACAGTGCGCTGGGAACTCAAAGATCACAAGTTCGAATCACGGATTGGACACTCCTATAAAAGACATGAAAGACGTTAAAAACATAAACAGCGGATTCAAAAACTCAAGTCAGAAAAACAGAACACAAGAATACTACCCTACATGGAAGCCAGTCGAAGTCGTCGAAGAACGAACACAGTTGACAGCTGTAGATCACGCGCAACAACAGGCACGAGGAGCATGGCTGCTTTCCAAATGGGTCCCTTCTTTTGTATTGACCCCCTAAGGATTACTAATCCCCCTTTCTAACTCTTCCTCCAAAAATAATATATCGCCCCTTTTAAAATGTATTGACCCACAAATCAATGAATATTCATTTGATCAGATATCCCACAGTATTTACATATATGACTAGTAGTGCTCAGTTGTTGTCTGACTTACTTGTAACTGTGTGCCACATAACAGAAGAAACAATCAAACAGTCTGACCACAAAATACATGTATTTGCATATGCTCAAATGTGACTCCTCATCATGGGCATTCGACCTATTTAAAGTGCCTGTGAAATGGCTGCTATTTTCACACCTAAAATTATCAATTGATATATAAATATTATTAATTTTTATGTTTCTAAGCATGATTTTTTTTTTTTAAGTGAAAAAATGTGTTTTAAAGTCAGTCTATGGCAACTTTATTTTTGTGTATTTTAAAACGAGGCTTCTCATTAGCTTC